TTTTTTTGCTTAATTAGTTTATCCACCATTATAATTTTTAATTGGCTTGGTCTCCGCCACAAACACGAAAGATGACGACGAAAAAGAGACCGTCTAGATGGAGGGAGAGAGAAAAATTTCAATTGTAATTTTATGCAACACGCAGCCGCAAAATGATTTTCACAGCAAATTATGCGGCCAACCGCAGTCGGTGCCCCCAGAGAGACATGCAACATGGATTTCCCACGCATGCCCCCAATGAATGGAAATCAAGAGAGGCACAAAAAAAAATGAAGAAGCAGTCTCTCTACTATATCTACACAGTAGAGGCAGAAGCAACTTCCGCGAGTAGCCGCAGAAGAGAAGGAAAAAAAGACAACAACAAAAATTTGCGTTTTTGATTAAATCGTGGGATAGATCAAAGCCATCTTATCAAAAGTTCGCCAAGCAGGTGAACTGGTCGGGGCCTGGCCAGGCCCCAAACGTGGGATAGTATTTGAAAGATATTCCGGCCTTGATTTTCAGATCAGTTGTTTGTGGGAGAATGGGTGAGACAATGTGAAAGAATGGAGCCAGAGAATCTACATAGATGAAGATTCTCTGAAAGACAGAAGATTAAATTTCTAGATTATAGTCTAACTTTGTTATATGGCTCCCAATTTAAGGGAACTTTACTCCAAATATTTCAGATTTGTACTGCGTAACGAAGGGTATCAGGTGAGTAGATAACCTTTAATCAAAGTTAAATCAAAACTAGTCACAAAAGTGAAATAAGAAGTGAAAAACTCATAAGTGTATCCACATCCCGGCACAGTTAATGGCACTGGAAGAATTCACGGGGTTTTTCAATACAACCCGTGATCTCTTAGTGGCATCTATGGTGCGGGACTCATCTCAATCAATCCCAATCGCAACCAACGTTGATAATTGTGTTAATGTGTGAACTGCATTAAATCGGTTACTCAAAAGGGAAATTTTTGTTGTTGTTTTTTTTTTGTGTGTGGGAAATTAATTATTAAACCGGACTCATTAGCACCTTAAACCCTCCTCAAACCTCGGACCATCTAATTCATAAATTTTCGAATGTATGCAAGAGAGAGAGAAGAGACTTTCAAAAATAATCAATAGGAAAATAAAGGCAACGAACAAAAATGGAAGTTTACAGCATTAAAAGAAGTGAGAGGAGGAGTGGTGTGGTCTGGTCTGGGAACCTGATGGGGCACCAGGTACCGGACATGGTGGCAGCCTTGAAAAATCACCTTTCACACCGCCTAGAGTTCTCGAATCTGTTCTGTTCTTTTTTTTATTTTTATTTTGTGCCCACAATTAGCAGTTCAATGAACCAGTCGTTCCACTGTTCCAGACCAGCGGATGGAGCCAGAGCGAGAGGAGAAAAAAGTCAGCACTGAGCACTGAGAAGAAACGAACAAAGTACCAATCTCCCGGAGAATAGCACAAAACCCATGGATAATAACCCAATGGAGCTGTTGGGCATGCCAATGCCCATGGCAAGAGACGACCAGAGAGAGAAAGAGAGAGAGGCAGGCCACAGAGAGAGAGAGAGGTAAAAAAGATAATTAACTTTTTTTCTTCTTTTTTCTTATTTTTCTTTTAGCACTAAGTATGCCAAAGAGGAAGCACTAACAACGACTACAACAGCAACAAATTACAACACATTACAATGGACGGGGGCCCAGGCCCTGCAAGTGTGAGAGAGTTCCTCCCCAGCCGAGGGGGAATTCCCCCCGTCTTTTACCCTTTTCCTGCTTGAATGGTTTTGTCATGCATAAATTTTGTAGTTTTGCTTAAAATTTTGCACTCTGCCAAAGCAAGAATCAAATAAATTCCTGCACAACCTTTTTTTTTCTGTTTGTTGTGGGTACCAGTGCGAGTACCCTTCTGGACAAGTTCCGCCCGACTGCTCTGGAGGGAAGGCGTCTGGATGGGGGCAGATAATGATGATGCTTCCTGTTTGGCGGCGGCACATAGCACATACATACATATGCCAGTGTCCGTGTATGTGTATTTATGAGACACCTTTTGCGCTGATAAGTCTGTACTCGAGTTACAATTGAAATGTGTACTTAATTAAGGGAAGGCGAGTCGATTCGGTGTCTTTTGATCTATGGTCAAGAGAGAATACTGAGAAGTACAGGGCGAGAGGAGATCGAGATGTGGAAGCAATTATTCACTTAAACCTAAAATGGAAGATTGTAATTTGTAAATTCCTAAGAAGACCTTGTTGTTAAGATAGTTTTGGTTTTTCTTTCAAAGTTAAATTTGAAATATAGTATGATGCACACAAAAACTCCATCTTCCCACACAATCCGACACGATCCGATTTTATGTAAGAGGTTTTCAACCTTTACCGAATTTTAATATAACATTAATGCTTTATATAACAGCAGAACACAAAAACAACTCCTGAAATATATATATTTTACCCAAAAATCTACGAGTGTGTGATATCTTTGGAACAAAACTTGGCAAAAAAGTTTCAAAACCTTTAAATAAACTGGAAAAATCAAAGAAAAGGAAGGTTCATTCACTCTTTAATGACAGCTTCACCACACACGATTCAAAATATTTCCGAATAATGCATTTTCGGCTGATTACTTTGATAACCAATTCTAATTTTAAGAAACAAAGTAAACCGTGCTACCAAGTAAGTTAAGGATAAAGCTGTCCGATATGTAATGGCATATTTAGGGGCCAACCAATCACATCCATTGTTCTAATATTATGCTGGTTTGTCGGGGAAAATCCCACAGATGGTAGGCAATACAAATTGATTGGCGGCAAATGGTTAAAATTTTTGCATAATTCAATGCGCACGCGTTCTGGTTTTAGTTTCGGCAATTTTCCTATTTCCCGCGGCCACAGCTGGAACCAGAGGGACACAGGAATGGCCCCTAGACATTGTCCGGTCCGGTCGCGCAACATGGTGCACCACCAGACATCCAACAAGTTTCTGGTCTTGGGCCTGGGCCTGGGTCTGGGTCTGGGCCTGCTGCTCCGATTTGAAATCATTAAATGGACGACAGGCGAGATCGAAATTGCCGGCAGTGCCAAAGTTGCCGCCTGGCCTGCTGTTGTTGCTGTCCGTTCCCGGTGTCGCAGAGGGTTGTTGGGGAAATTTGAAAATTACCTTTAATCAGAGCGAAAATGAGATGGCTAATTTGCATTTGCCGGAATTGGCTGGAAAATGTTGCATGGACTGTGGGAATGGCCGCAATCCTGTCATTTGGTCAGTGGGAAAACGTGGCTCAAACTCGGTTTGGTTTTCTTTTTTTTTTTTTTGTTCATTGGCGTGGGTGGGCACTGGCCACAGCACTGGCTGGAACGACAGCAGCTGTGCGTTGGAATGTGATCAACCCCTGCCTGACTGGACTGCCTCTCGAGTGCCTGATGGGAACTGGACCTGGTTCACATAAGGAAAAGAGATGCAGCCACACGTCTCGCTCTTCTGTTGTTCTCTGGCGCTTTTTGATCTATGAGCTGCGATTACGAGGCGCAGCTAAAAGCTGTACAGATAAAGCACAGTTGATCCCCAAGTGAGGCAGCTGCTGCCGCCAGCAGTTGCAAATGATGATGAGGCATGCCACCAGCAGCAACAGCAACAGCAACAACGAATGCAACAGCAACATAGATCAGACCGGGAGACCATGACAAGCGACAAGTTGTCGTTAGGCCCAAAATTAGATGCATTTTGTATGCCAAACAGAGAGAGAGGCTACGGAGCACACAGCCAGAATCGGAGCTTGAGAGAGGGAGAGGGAGAGCACCACTCTACAGGCGGTGGCTCAGAAAATTGCATAGCTAAGTGCAGCAACGAGAGAGCGTGCAACAGCTATGGGCCTAGGGTAAACATTTGGCGACGCATCAGTGCAGCTGGAAAAGATACCTGCTACAAAAAAAAAAGCGGAAAGAAAGAAAGGCTAGCTTTGGAGCCACAGCTATAGATACCCTTGCAGATTCAATGCTTCAATGGCAACTGTTGTTTTTATATACAATAGTGGGAAAAGGATACATGAATCATGTTTTGATACTGTGCACAGTGTGATTCCTAACTATTAACACGAATTAGTGTGTACTCGTGCAGGGCTTTATTATATAGCTATATAGAATATATCAACTGGTGACATTGACTATTGATATAGTGATCTGCAAAGCCCACTTTTTCCGCCCTATTATTTTTAATTTTTAATGATAATGATTCTTCTCTGCCCTTCAAAAATCTGCTCAAAGTCAAAATACTCTTCGCTAGGGTAGAATATATAGCCCCAAGCCTATACCTACCTATACTGTGCAAATATTTTAGCAGCAATTTTCAGCTTAAATGCCTGCAAAACGAGATGCCCAACAGCTTTTGGCGGTGGCCAGAGGCTTTTCTTTGGTTTATTTCCCTTCTTCAGCGCTATTCATTTGGAAAGAGCTCTTCTTTGGGGCTATTATACATATATACACTGGAAAGCTAATTGCGTACATCCACATATTGTTTATAGGAGAGGATGATAGCAGAATGAAACTATTTTAGACATTTTAAAGTGGAATTTAGACAAAATCGAATCGATGTAGTCCGTAAATTTTTAACTGAGATTGATCATAAATCTATTTCTAGTGCTCTTTAATTATAAATGTGATTTACACTAGCTAAGTGAAACTGATTTTTGTATTACACTCCAATTAAAAGAGATATACGAAACAGAATTGAGTACAGATCCGCTCTTTCTCACTCTCTACTATATTGGGTTCGGGGAATTTCCTAGCGTTAATTAGAGAGCGCGGTACACGTGATAACAATGACTCTTCATATCGGTTCACAGAGATCAACGCAAAAGTAATTCCTAAGCTTCCCCTTCCCATACTGGAATGAATGAATGTATGGCGTCACAGAACTCTCGCCACACTACCCCTAAGGCGGCTTTGCTCTGGGCGTTGGATTTGTCCATGAAATTGTGCAGCAACCCCGTCCCCGTTTTCGGGTTTCCGTTATACCCAGCTGTGAGAAATCGTATCGATTGATTTTATGCGAATTTATTAACAATTCAAATTTCCAGTGGAAGTTGAAACTCAAGGCGGATTAATGACGAAAGAATACGTTTGATGGGTGCTTCTCAAACTGTATGGGTGTTGAGCCTGATTAAGCGAAGACCCCAACCAGTGTGGAGAGTTTTCGGTGGTTCTTGTCTTTACTGAGTGTACTGATGATCGCCATTATATATCCATACCACTTCTAACGTTTATACCGAATTTTTTTATCGTTTGAGTTATCTAGAAGTCGGCATTATTGAAACGATGAATTTTGCGACACAATTGCAGAATGTGCGGAATTTGATTGTTTTTTGTTGTTTGCTTTTTTTATATTTATGTCTTGTTTTTGTTGCTCCCATCTGTTCCACAAGGGGGCTTCTCCTCATTTTCGTTTTTAGCTTCATCTTCTTTTTTCTTATGCTCCGCCTCACATTTCATCTTCAATTCCTCTTGCTCTTTCTTTTGTTTTTCTTCCTTGCATTTTTCCTTGTTATTCTTTTCTTCCACTTCACATTTAGGTTTTAACTTCTCGTCTTTTTTCTTCTTTTGCTCCGCCTCACATTTCATCTGCAATTCCTCTTGCTCTTTCTTTTGTTCTTCTTCCCCGCATTTTTCCATTTTCTGCTTTTCTTCTGCTTTGCACTTAGCCGTCTGGCTATTCCCTTTCCCTTGATTCTTCTCCACCAGTTGTGCCTGGAGGGACTTATCGCACCACTCTCTGAGCTGTTCATCTGTCATCTCTAGCAATGCATTGACCTTCACAGCTTTTGTTTTTTCCGCTTTCTTTTCGCACCGTTGCTTCTCTTCCTGCTCCTTGCAGAGTTCCTCCTGCTTTTTCTTAGCCCTCTGTTCGGCTTCTTCCAGCTCCTTGGCCTGTTGTGCGATTATCTTGTCGCACTCCGCTTCCAGTTTCTTCATGTTCTCCATACTGACGTAATCGCACTCCTCCTCCTCATCTTCTTCAATTGTGTCGTGTACTCCCCCTTTGAGTCGACGGTCGTCTCGCATCTCCAAGGCATGGTTCTGCAGCTCAGCAAAAGAGAATCGATGGTAGCCAAAATATTGGCCATTCTTGTATTCTAAACCTCTCCCAGCTCCTGGTCCCAACTGTTCATCAGGTCCACAAAACTGACGAAAGGCTGCTGGTCTCACATAGTCCGGCACTTTAATACCATCATGATCGATACTCGTCGGCTCGTAACCCTCATCTGGGGGATCCTTAGGTGGACGTTTGGTATTTGAGAGTTTGCTACTCATCTTCGCCTTGTCGCTAAACTGGCGACGGAGCTGAGGACGAGAGAAAAACTTGTACATGTTTACGTGCTTCTCTGATCTGATTTGGAAAATATATGAGGGTGCAACTATCTTTTGAATGAATTTACTAAGGCTACTTCATATTCAACAAATATTATTTTTACGTTTGATACATATCGTCAGAAAATATCTCTATTAAATTGGGCACTACTGTACTATACTGTACAGTAAGTATACTGTATGACTAGTGGTAAAACATAATACTAATAATAACAAAAGTTGAAACAAATCAATCAAGCAATTGGTTTTCGAAAATCCAGTTTTCAGTTTAATAGAGTTGTTGCGTGTATTGTTTCAGAATTTAATTATTTGCCTAGATTTCCGGTCGCTACGTTTGTTGGCTACCATTTTGAACTTTACAGAATTACTAATTTTTGGCTTTCTTCTTCGACTGCTCCGCAGCCAAACGCGTTGTGGCCTCGTGTAAATCGTATAGAGAGTAGGAGTGATATTTGTAGTCATAGCTTTTCTGCTTTTCGTCCTGATGCTGCTCCCCATTGACAGTTTTCTTTAGACGCACACCTTTCCCAGCCGTCACGGGCTGGAGGCATTTTGGATCTATATAGTCAGGCAGCTGCACTGTAGCGGTATCTTCCTCTACCTGCGGTACCTCAATTGAGTTGCATTCGGGTTCCCGTAGAGCTCGGAGTATGGGACCCTTAAAAATATACTTCTGATGAACGAGACGGCGCCCGAAGGTCAACAGCGTCTTGGGCAACATTATAATTTGCTTAAATATCTAGGAAATGGGGAATTTTTATCGAAGCGGAAAAAATAAATATGCTTTTTCCATCTTTTACCAATTTGCCGGTTTAGTTGATCTGGGGTTTATGTGACAAGCTGTATATATTTTACCATTTTTTCGGTCAAGTTTTATTCAAGGCAAACTGTTTTCCAAGAAACGAATAAGTTTCATATAAACAGAAAACGCAGGAATCAAGAATACGATACTTGGTTTAGGTCATCTTGGATAAGAATCTCCGTAAATCTCCGACTGCGTCCTGGGGCATGTTTTCTGCGTATCGTTTTGTTAGGAAGCTTGCCCCGCTTGGGAGGAACCGCATCTTGTTCCTCAATGTCAGCATCTCATTTATGTGACAGAACCGCGTGATCCTAAAGGCGGTGTCGGTTGAAAAAATTAAAAATGACGAGGAGCTGGTGGCTGGTGCTGTTGACGAGCAGAAGTTCAGCAATGGCGACATACTAAAAATAGTGGAAATTTCCAATTGCCCATGAACAAAATTCAATATTTCCACCGCAAATGGTTAGGAGAAATAATAAATAAATTCATGTGGGGTATATGTAGGTACAAGACAAGATATGGAAGAGATTCTTTAGAAGACGGCTTTACAAGCTCAAGACATTCAATAAATAAGAGAATTCAAACCTGCTGAAAGTTAAAGTAAATCGATTTGAATCCACTATGTTTTATCATTCTTTATATAGAATATATTATATTATATTATCTCACCTCCAGTTTGGGGGTCACTTCGGGACAACAAGTTATGGTTAAGTCCTACAAAATATTTATATTCAACTCTGCATATCACGTTAAGGCTTTTGCTGCTCCTGAATGAATTTGTTGCGCTTGGTTTTCTGGGCCGTCAGGTGACTCTGGACAAATGTCTGAAAGTTTTGCTCTTCGGTGTTGCCCTTGGCATCAGTCTCCATATCATCCTCGAACTCTTCAGAATCCATTTGCTGCGGCACAAGACCAGGGGCCATCAGGAACATGTTGTTGCCAGAGTAAGGAGGAGGATCTTTGAGGTCCAGGCCCATGGGAACTGCAGTACCCGAATCTTCAACCGTGGAAGGTGGCTGTAGCGTGGCTTGCTTCTCGGCAAGGCGCTCCTTTCGCATCTTCTCGTACACGGGCTTGTAGTCCTTCTCGTATTCCGTCACGCAGTCGAGGACATGCTTTATGAGCTGGGCAAAGCCGACGCCTGTCTTGGCCGAGACACCGCAGGTGACCAGGTTCTCGTAGAAGGTGTCCAGAGTGAGGGACATGGTGCGTGTGAGGTTGTTCACGAAACTCTGCTCCTGCTCGAGGGCATCCTGGTAGGCCTCAAAGTCCGTCATCCATTCCTGAACAAAGCTGCAGTCCTTCAGGTCAATCTTATTCAAGGCCACAAGGAAGGGCAGCCGGGTCTTGTAGAGAATAGAGCAGGCGTAGAGCATGTTGGACATGAAGGTGGTGGGACAGGCGGAGCGTACCACATCCATAACATATACAATAATGGTGGGGAACATGGTAGCCAAGCCTTCGGTAATGATGTTGCCCGAGGCCGACCAGGTGAAAACTTCAATCTGGCCAGGTGTGTCGATGATGCACCACTTGTGGCCACGCTGCCCGGCCCGACGCACCAGCTCTGCGAATTTGGCCATCTTGGTGGTAAACATGTTTAGGGCCGTCACTATACCGCCATTGGGTCCCAGTTGATATTGCTTCATAACCTCCTTGTAGTTTACTGTGTCGCGGATGTCGATGTGCGTCGCATACGGCACCTCGCGGCATGCGGGGTCCAGGTTGACTACATACGGGTTGAACTTTTCCTGGGCGTGCTGGATGAGGCTGCGCGTGAAAGTCGTCTTGCCGGAACCAGCCATGCCCAGCACAATAATGCAGACGGGCGAGTCCTGGATGCCTTCGCTCAGCGAAAGGGCCTCCAGTGAAATGTTCTCCATGCTGAGCTCACTGCCAGCTGGTTTGGCAGCCATATTCGTGGCTTTTTAGTTCGTATTTCACTGAAATTGAGGAAACAAAACAAAACGTGCGCTCTATAGGGATCAGTGTGGCCGCGGGCTTATCGCTAAAATATACCGCCCGACCCTCAGAAATATACCAAAATATACCGTCTCATTTTAAAAATATACCATGAATATACTGACGAATCCAAGTTCTATTATACATATTCCTCGATTTTGATATTCCTTGGAAAATAACTAGCTTTTTAAATCTCTTAGCCCTGTCCACATGATTTTATCCGACTAATGAACCTATTTACTACTTGACTGGGTTGTTTTAAATACTTGGTTTTATTGGATTTTACGTAAAAAAAGGTTTTAACGAAAATGGTCAAACAAAAAAAAACGAAAGTTGATAGTCGTTCAATGGACTTGAGTGTATAGAATATGCTATTCCACCGAGTGGGATATTCACTTTGTAGGCTTGACTTTAGATTAACATTTTCCAGTAATATTTTCAGGTATTTAACGAGTTCCGTCGCTTGCAGCTTCATATCTTCCAGTTCCTTGACATCTCTGAATGATTTCTCCACAACGTTATTCAATAAATGATTGATGCAATAAATGTGATCAAAGTGTTTAAATGCAGAATACACTTCCGAACTACGATCCGTCACAATGATGGCTCCAGCCAAATCGAGATTATGTAGGCAGTCCTCCACTTCCTTCTGAATTTGTTGGTCTGCGATTGTTACACATATGTAAATATATTCAAATTGCCTGACTTTAATACTCGTAAATACCTGTAAACGGCTCTCCGTCCATCGAACGCATGGCCAACAGTCGGTTGAAGAGTTTGTGCTCGTGTATATAGTGTATACTCGCACTAATGTAGGACCGTTTTAAGAACATGTCAGTCCATATATCAATCGTAATACTGAAGCCCTGTTCTTTGATCTGAGCCAGTTCTCCTTTAATTGTGGAAAGCACTTGCTCAAATGACTCCGAAGCGACCCGGGCTACTGATGTCGGATGCGGCAGGCTCTCCATTATATCAATGTTAGGTCCATATCGAGACGAGGCTTTAAGAAACACACGCAACAGATCATGCAGGCCTTCATCGACAAATATATCAAATGAGTGGCAGCTCTTGATGCACCACTTTGTCACCGCAAGTGCTATTTCATCCATGCTGATGGCATCTATCACAGGACTCTTTTATGTATTGATGATTGAATCTCCAGCAGATTTTTGTGCTGCATTAATGACTAAATCTACTGTAGGTTTTTGTGCTGTATGGCTGATTGAATCTACTTTCGATTTTTGTGTTTTTTTGCTGTTTTCATTTGCCGAAGATGTTTGTGTTGCCTTGCGCGCTCGCACTTGAGGAATAGACTGTTTGTAACACTTGTGGCGAACTAAATTCGAGGTATTGCCATAATACCCCATAACACTGCCACACGTTCGACACAAGACCACGCCATTTATTTCTACTCCTTCGCCGTCAATAATTTTTCCAAAAAACCCCCAAACTTTGCTACGGCCATGTTGCTCTGCAACGGTGTATTCGCCCGCAGCTAACTTTGCCTTCACCAGGCTGAGAAAGCCCTGCATATGGTTAATAAAAAAAAAAAATCATTGAAAAGGTAGAAATGCTTATATTCACCTCGCGCGGGTCTGGGATGTCTTGTATTGGGTATTGTATTGTATTGGGACCCAATTCCACAAACTCATCCGTCTCCGTCTTTGGCCAGTTCTTGTGCCTGGTAATTGGTATTGGTAATAATTGGTGGCTCGTCAGAATCCTAAAAAGTATCAAAGCAAAGCAATGAACAAAATACAGACTTTTTTGTCGCAAACTTTAATGCTCCACAATGCTCACAAACAACGTCTATTAAAGCAAACGAAAGGATGCAAAGGATGAATAAATCATGGAACTTCATTCATTCTTCATTGAGCTGCAAAAGCACACTGTACGTACCATGATGATAGACATTCTGCTCTCTCCTGGTCGATATTATGTTTCGCTTAGAACTGATCACCCAAGTTTGCCTGCACCGCTCTTTCTCGTTCTGTTCGTTCAATAGGAACCTTTCTATTAAAGCTATTTCACTTTGAAAACTACAAAAAAAAAACAAACATCAACAAGACAATCAAGGAGTGTGACCAGAATATACCGAATACCGGTTGCCTTTCACAGCTGATGACTGTTTCTCTGCTGCTACGTAGCTAACATTTAAAACTGTTTACATACATATATCCTTCTCACTCTCACTACATGCTTTTTTATAAACAAAAATCAAAGTGAACATAAAAAAACTCGCACAAGTCTCACGCAATATGGCCAAAAATGTCAAGAAACTCACATTGGCCAGCAAATTGGCCAGACAGGGTGCCGTAATTTCGCCAAAAACAATAACTAAGAGGGAAAATGGCAGTGTGGGGGTAAGTGCGGAGAGTTTGAATTGAAATCGAAGTCAAGACGTATTTTATCGTCCACAGGATATTGAGGATCTGGTAGGAGGTGCCGCACCGTCCACTGGTCCCCTATATTTTTCTCCCATACAAACTCGAAAGCAGCGCTTACTAAATGGCGAGGCCATTAGAAAAACTTCCACCAAGGAGGAGATTTTGACTCCTTCTCGAGTGCCCCAAAAGAAAAAGCGTTCATTTGTGGATAATAACAAGATTGTCGCTTTGGCTTCGGGTGGGGCAGAAACGCCTTCAATTAAGACCGAAGCTCCAATAAAGAAGGACACAAAGCCAAGGATCAAGAAAGAAGTTGAACCAAGGAAACAGAAGAAAGTAGAAGAGCAGGTCAAGATGATTGAACCACAGCAAAAGAATGAAATTGATCCTCTGGTAAACCAAGAAGTTGTGTCGCCCCAGTCCATGTGGTATCGTCAGTTGGAGAACATTCGTTCCATGCGGAGTCTAAATGCTGCCCCTGTTGACACAATGGGCTGTCATCAATGTGCCGACACAACTGCTGATTTTAAGGTATCACATATGTACATCTTCTCCCTCACACATCTGTATCATCCTTTCGCCTTGACAGACACAACGATTCCACAAATTGGTGGCTTTGATGCTTTCCAGTCAGACGAAAGATCAAACCACCTACGAGGCAATGACTCGCCTGAAGGCGCGCACACTTACCCCCGACAGCTTGAAAGACATGCCAATTGGTGAACTGGAGACCCTTTTACATCCCGTGTCCTTCTATAAGGTAGATTCTTTCCTATAGCGCATTGGAAGATCTCTATCATTTAAGAAAAACCATTTCAGAACAAGGCCAAGTACCTTAAGCAAACCACACAGATACTGATCGACAAGTACGATTCGGATATTCCGAACAATGTCAAGGAGCTGATAGCCCTGCCCGGCGTTGGACCCAAAATGGCCCACATCTGCATGGCCGTTGCCTGGGACAAGCTGACTGGAATCGGCGTCGATGTCCATGTCCATCGTATATCCAACCGACTGGGCTGGCTACCACGTCCCACCAAGGAGCCGGAGCAGACCCGTGTTGCTCTAGAGAGCTGGTTACCCTCCACTCTCTGGGCGGAGGTCAATCATTTGTTTGTGGGATTCGGTCAAACTGTTTGTACGCCATTGAAGCCCAACTGTGGTCAATGCTTGAACAAAGATATTTGTCCATCTGCAAAAGTGGGGGTCACTCCCACAAAGAAAAAGGATAGATAGAAAGGAGAATAAAAAGATCTAGTATCAAACAGTATTTCTTTAATACGCGCGTTTTTCCTCTTGTCGGCTTATATGAAAAAATAACTATTTCTCTAGTCTCGACACTCGGTCACACTATTGCAGTGCATTTTGGCGCATTTTGTTGTTTACGGAACCCTCACTTGTGAAATTATTAGAAAACTATTAACACCTGAGCAAAATGAATGATTCGTGTAAGTTAAATACTATCCATTAAGGAAATAAAACAACTTAAGGTTTATTTCGTATTTTAGTTGGTGATTTCAATGCCACACAGACGGCACCGGCGGGCGCCGCCAGCAACCAAAAAGGAGAGGTGAGTGAATTTTAGCACAATTAATTAGAACTCGTGTATTTATGTGCCTCAAATCTCTTAGGGAATTGTGCCTTTGTTTATAAAGCAGATTGTGGATGCGCCCGAAGGGAATATTGAGCTGTTCGGCATGCAATTTGGCATGGCGTGTCTGGTGGCAATCGTTCGGAATGTGGAGACCTCTTCCACCAAGATAACCTATACGCTGGAGGACCACAGTGGTCGGATCGATGCCCACTACTGGCTGGAGGAGGGCGACGCCCTCAAGGCACCGGAAGTGATGCTAAACAACTACGTCAAGGTCTATGGCACCACACGCTCGCAGGCGGGCCAGAAATCGCTGATGGTATTCAAGCTGCTGCCCGTCCTGGATCCCAATGAGGTGTGCACCCACCTACTTGAGGCTCTGAATGCCCGCTACAAGGCGGAGGATTACCAGAACAAGGGCGGTTCGTCTGCCATGGTCCCTGATTTCACCGCCTCTCAGAGCACGGCTATTGTGAATGGGCTGGATCCCAAGCAGCAGGCGGTGTTCCAGGCCATCAAGAGCAACATGTCCGAGGAGGGAATAAATCGAAAGGAGCTGAAGGCCAAGTTTTCGCACATCAGTGATTCCGAATTGACGTAAGCAAACATTTTCTGCGCATTTACTTGATGTTTTTTCTAAGTATTTTGGTAATTTTTAGCAACATTTTGGACTTTATGATTTCGGAGGGCCATATCTACTCGAGCATAGATGCTGATCATTTTATTTGCACCATGTAAAATGTTTTGGTTCAACAATATCCACTAACTTTATAATTAATCGAATAAATGTATTAAGTTTCCAGAAAAGCAAGCGTTCCCTATTGTTGCTATTTTTCAGCATATTACTTTTATCCACATTACCAATAATGCTTATGCGGTTTGGTTTGTACTGGATCGGAAGAAGAGATAAGTGTGGAGATGTCTTAGCGCCCAACATTTAACCGTACCTCTAGCACTCAGGGATATAGTTATAGATAACGGTATTGCGTTCAGAGCAGCTCATCATCTACTCTAGCACCTGTGCCTGCTCCAACTCTGGTTCCTGGTCCTGACCCCCTTGATGTACATACTTCTCGTGATTTGCATTTGTTACTGTGTTGCGATGTAACATTGTCAGCTTGAGTCCGAGTTGGAGCCATCTACTACTATCTACTATTCAGTACCCTTTGGTATTAATATCATCACAATTGTTTAGATTTTCCCACCTACGGACTAAATTCAAAATAGTCGATCTCGACCTTATCGCTGTTCTGGCTGACTGACTCAAAATGAGTGCGATCTTATCCGTGTGGCATAGTCTTCTGCTGCAGACCGTTGTCAAGTCCTCAAGTCATCGTAGTGCTGCCACAGGAAGACTCCGAAATGATGGAGAAAGGTTATCGCCATTTGCCTGCCTTAAGCGAGCCACGCCCACCGAGATGGAAAACCTTAATCAAGACTACCAGCTGGATTCATCGCCGCGGAAGATGAATCTTGCACATGAGGTGTATCGAAATGAGGTTGGCAAGGCTCAGACGTTTCAGGCGGTGAAAAAGGCTGAGGTCAGTATTGCCTGCAATGATTTCAATTCGAGCGAACCGCTTCCGCCACTGGGGAATCCAGATTTCCTCCATGCAGCTACTGAAATGGTCCTCGGAAAGTCTTCTCCAGCACAAGCAGTGGGTCGAGTAAGCTAATCGTTTCTTCACTGAAGAAAGAGGCCAGACTTGTCTGAATGGATTTTAGAGTGTTTGTTGCATATTCTTTCGTCAGGTTGTTGGCATACAAACAAAAAACAGCATCGATGCCTTGGCCCTGGCCGCACAGTTTCTGCGCCAGAAGACGACACGGGACGTTTGTCTGCTCGCCCGTCCCTGCAACCCCATCTACTGGCAGATATTCAAGGAGGCGGGCTTCAATTGCCAAAGATATCAGTACTACTCCGATGCGAGGGGCGAGCTGAACATCTACGGATTGGTGGCCGATTTGATGACATCGCCGGATGGGGCAGTGGTCGTTTTAGATGCATGTTCGCAGCATCCCACCGGACAGGATCCCAGTGTGGATGAATGGAAGCTGCTTTTCCACATTGTCAAGTGCAAGAAAATGCTACCCCTGATCCACTTGGACTCTCCTGGGCTGGCCAGTGGCGATCCCAATGAGGATGCTTGGCCAGTGCGATTCTTTTCCGACTGCGGCATCGATGTGCTATGTGCACAGTCTTTTGTTAAGAACTTTGGACTCTACAGTAAGAACAGCTCAAGTGCCTAGCCAATGCCAATCATTAATCACTGTTTCCACCTCCAGACGAGACAGTTGGGCATTTGATGGTGGTGCTGTCAAACGTTGCCCAAGTGCATGCGTTTCGTGGACAATTTGAGTCGATGCTGTTGGACAAAAATGCCGAGTGCTCGTCCGTGCATGCTAGTCGAATTGTAGCCAAAATTCTGACCGATGAGAAGCTCCGCTCAGAGTGGTAAGAATTTATAGAGAACCATCAAATGGAACCATTTTGTATAGATTTTCCGTTTCCAGGTGCCAAACCCTAAAGGACATGCACCAGAGGGTCTCTCGAATGCGCGGCGAGATAAGGAAGAAACTATCAGAACTTAAGACCCCCGGAAATTGGCAGAACTTGGTGAAACAGAACGGATATCATCTATATTGGAATCCAAGCCGTTCTCAGATCCGCCAGCTGAAGGACAGACACATCTATGTCCCGAGCTCGGGTCGCATGAACCTCACTTCAGTGAGCCCCACCAACCTGGATAGCTTAGCTGCAGCCCTCAACGATGTGATGCAAGCCACTAAGGGCGACGTTTCCTCGGATAACTACTTTGTAGCCGATAAATTTAACACTCAATACTTTCACTCTGTCTGAAGTTTGTACTTGTCACTTTCCAGAATACTCGTAATACAAAATTATTATTCAACTTAAAACAGTCAGAGAAAAACTTCCAACACTGCTTGAAGAAATTTTAGTTTGCTGGGAACCAATGCATTAATCCAGATCAGAGCTGGCTATCTCCGCTTATTGCTTGCTGGGATTGTGGGAATATATAACATGATTTAATAAAATAAAAAACTTTGATAAAATTGAGATAAATACAATAAAATACAAACAATAATATAATTTGGTTACTTAAGGAAGTCTTTGAGCTGTTTTTTTTGATGAGAGAATACTTGCTGGACAGCAGCAGCATGACACTGCCTCTGCCTATGCCATGGGATGGGACTTTGGAAAGATTAAAATTGATCTAGGGTAAATGTTAGCTACTAAAAATTATTATATTCTATCCCAAAAATAGGTACTAATAACGTATAATGAAGGGGGGGTTGTTTATCACTTTATCACAGAGGCTTTGGCGCTGAAGCTGACGTTGACGTTGAGGCTGCCGCGTTTGGCGGAACAGTTAGTTGCAGCTTCAGTTCGCACAGCTTTTTGATGTGTATCTGATTGGTGAGCTCGGCCTGCCAGCGAATTTTACGTATATCACTCAGTCGCTCGTGCTTGTTGGCCAGCAAGTAGGCGGACTTCAGCTGGCCAATATATATATAGGAGGAAATGCGCAGCTCCACATTCGAGATGCGCTTGATTAGCCTGTCCAGGGTCTGCTTTGTCTCCGGCAAATTGCTATGCACGGCCGCATTGATGGCTATCGAGAGAATCTCGTCGGATTCCGAGGTGATGGCGCCACCATTGTTGCTCCCAATGCAGTCCAGCAGACGGTCCACCTCCGAGAGGCGTTGATTCCGGGCCAAATACTTGGCTGTGGCTCCAAACACCTTCATGGCTGACAGTTTGTAGTCCTGTATGATGCTGCAATGGAATGGAATGGGTTTATTTGCATTATGAATGGACATGGACACCTACCCGTATGCCAGTCCGAAACCCTCGTCAATATTCTTGCCGCACAGGAGGACCAGGATGCACAGCTGAATTCTGTCTGCGGCCCCCTCAAATAGAGTAGGCAACGTAGTCCGACTGGACTCGAGGCGGATCTGCAGTAGGAGTGGACTTTAGCAATCCTCAAGTCAGATTTAAGATTATGTTACCTGTTTCAGTATTTGCAGGGTCCTCAGGGGCTGCTCGTCGGGCGACTGTTCCCTCTCGCACTGCGACAGGAATTTGGCCACCTCCATCTGCCGTCGAATGGTGTTGATGTGTCCGTTAAGCGCACGTGCATCCATCTGCATGGCAAAGCAGGCCCCATGGCTGCTGCCACTGCTCCCTTGGGCGCTCACGACGCTCACGCGTCGTCCCTGCTGCTGTCTCTGTAGGTGCTCCCACTCGGCGAGGTCCAGTTCCCCCTGTAGATGCATGTGCGCAGCCAGCAAGTGCTGGGCATTGGCCTGCAACTTTTGGAAATTCTCGCACTGCAGTGGATAGAACTTCACGCAGGTCATGCTCGCCCGTATGGGATCCTTGAGCAGCAGCTGGAGCTGGTACAGTGAATTCAATTGCTGCTGCTGCTCCAGATGGCGACAGGTCTGGAGCAAAGGTAGCCGCCAGGCACCCAACTGTGGATCATCCAATTGCTGCAGCTCCTCCACCAAAGCAGGTAGATTGCCGGTGGCCAATTGCAGCTGAAAAATGTGCTGAATAAACAGATCCGTGTCCAGTTGCTGCTGCTGCCAGTAGCGGAGGGCGGCGCGCAGCTCTTCGCGATGCATGAGGAACGACAGGATGTCTCCTTGGCTGCCGTAGGTAAGGACATAGTGGAGGGATTCCTCAAAGCCACGTTCCTGGCGGCGACTCTCATCGCTGACCACCGCATGGCCATGGCCCCCGTAGTGACCCTTGGCAATGTTCTTCAGATTGGCCAAAGCATTCATCACATTCAAAGCGGGTTCTTGGAGTGGTCGCTGCTGAATGTAGGGCTCGCGGCGTCGTGTGAAGAGCGAGGCCAGCGAAGTGTTTGAATTGCGGATGAGCGAGGCTCGATGGAGGGTCTCCGGTTGGGGCTGGCTGTGTGGCAAAGTTTCAATCAACTGCAAGATCTCCTGCAGCAAAGCAGGCCCCCGCTGCGGTCGCTTTCTCGGCAACAGCACGGGGTCTGTTTGAGTCGTTCCCGTGCCGAATATGCTCTTGTAGATGCAGCTATTGAGCTGCTCATTGGACAGACGCGTCATGCAATGCCCAAACTTCTCACGAGCTGTGGAATAATACTGTAAATATATACGAGGACGTGGAATCATGAGAGTTACCCGCATCGTAGCAGCCAGCACGCAGACAGGCCAGCCCGTGGGCTGCCATCACGCCCGTTGTGGCAAAACCGCATTTGAGGTGAACTTCGAGCGCCAAGGTCCAGTGCTCGGCCTCGACCAAGGCATCGGCTAGCTTGCGTAAATTGTGATTACCGAGTTCTCCCACGGGTAGGAGGGATTCACAGCCCTGCTGCACCACAGCCATTATGATTTCCGAGTGCTCGCGTATGTTTTCAAACTCTCCGGGCGCGCCACGAACCTACGAAAAAGTTGATAAGGGTTTAGTTTGCACTCCATATAAAATATCGCTATTAAACCTTTGCTGCAAATGCCAGACAATTGATCATTTTGGCCACCAATTCGTAGTCCACCTCTGGATTCGGGTCAATCAGCTTCTCCAACTTCCGACAGTGGTAGAGCAACAGCTCTACGCATGTCCTCTGATCCTGATGGTGTCTTAGTATAGACAGACTCATGGCCACGCTGGGGGCATGCTCGTAGGAGAATTCCTCGCGGATCAGCTTGTCGTGGGTGATGTTGCCGCTAAGGCGCCACTTGCTTGACTCCACCAGCGAAGAGCAGCCCGACACAGTGCTTTGCTCCCACGATGCGCTTTGATCTCCCTCTCCATTAGCGTTGGTGCTGATGGCACTGGCACAGTCGTTGCAGATGCGCACCTCCAGCTCATCGTATAGCTCTGGTATCCGCATGCGTTGTGTGGAGCAGGCAAAGCATACAACTCTCCCGCAACGACGGCAGTGATGGCGCCTCATCAGCATGGTAAAGGCTGCCCTTCGGCAGCACATACAATGGCTGGCTGCCTCATCTGGCGTCCACTGTTGTCGTGCGGGCGCTTGCTTGGGCATCACAAAAGCCCCGCACAGCGAGTCCAGAGAGTGCTGCAGATCCGTGCCCAGGGAGCTATGTTCGGAGGAGGAGGAGGGCACTGAACGGTAGTCGAGCGCTTTGCTGGCATAGATCCTCAGCAGCAGATCCAGGCACTCCGGGCCTACAAAATGATCCTGCTGGTAGGAGTTAAAGTTGAGCAGAATAAACGCCTCCGATGTGGCCTGACCCAACTGGAAGCGCAGCTTTCCCGGCTGAGTGGCTGTCGAATGCACATCGTACGCATGTCCACGCTTTTCGAAGCAGTAGGGACACGGACCCGAAGGCTTCTCACGCTGTAGTCGGTCTCGTGCCGCTTCCAGGAGCTTCGAGAGCAGCTCAAAGCGGGCGTTCATCACCAGCTGTTCGACGATCAGCAGCGGATGCCTTAGCAGGCGCCAGAACTGCTGACGCTCGACCCCTTCCATGTGCCCGAGCAGCACCAAGGAGAGCTGGTAATTGCGATAAGGACGCGGATCACGTGCATGGTGTTCGAGATAGTCAATCACCCATTGGAGCAGTGCCAGCGAACGGAATTTGTCCTTGTGCGTGTCCAGGAAATTGACCAATGACATGGGCGGAAACATCTCAACGATGCCCAGTAATGAGGCGTCCAGCTCCTCTCCATCCCGCAGCTCCAGCAGGGCATCCAAGAGTGTGAGCAGACAAACCCTCTGCTGCCCCTCCGATCCGGAATGAAACACCACGCGGCACCACTCCAGACACAGGCCATAGCGACGTCGCTGCAGCAGCTGCTCGAAGATCACGTTCGGTGTCTGCCGGCCAAAATCATAGGCCTGCGGCCAGCTCTCGAATTGCAGCAGTGCCGACACGCGCGCATATATCGTTATGTCTGACAGCGTGTGTTCCAGCTGGCTGCGCAGCGCCGGTTGGATGGAATCCGCCGCCTGGCGATGCTGCAGCGTGCGCTCGATCAGCTCTTTGGCCAGCTGGCTGCTGGGTATCTTGGTAAAGTGCTGCTTCAGCAGACGCGCCCTTTGGCCCAGGTCATTCATGTGCACCACCAGCTGTATGTTACGAGGATCTTCTTCGATCAGATCCCGTATTAGATGATCTATGCGGGACTTAAGCTCCTCCGAAGAGTCTGAAACAGGACCGAAATGGAATATAAAAGGAAAAGGGCTTTTTCAAGAAATATTCTCCTCACCCGCATGTCCACCAATCCCAAGCAGTAGAATCTGCAGCAGCAGCTCCTTGCTGGTCACCATCTCCGCCAGGGTATGGCTATCCAGTTTATAGGCACTCAAGGCAGCCAGCAACCGATTGCCCTCGTGCATCGTGGCCAGAATCTCTAGCTCTGGCAGCCGCATGAGCTGCGAGAGGCAGGCAAAGTCTAATCCTCCCTCGCTGTACTCGGGCAGCTGCTGGCCGAGCTGCACGGCCATCAGCAGTTGGGCCAGCAATTGGTTGTGCTGTGCCATGTAGTTGTGGATAGATTCCTGCTTCTGTGGCGACACCACACGTGGCAGTTTACGGCTGCGCAGACCCTCTCCCAATTGGGGGCAGATATTCAGAGCAATCACGTGCACCAGATTCAGATGCAGAGCAGCCACATTGCCCTCAATCTCCAGGGGAGTGATGTCACACTCGTAGATGAGCTCTCCAATCACATCGTAGGGATCATTCCTTAGCAGCTGGCTGTTGTGGTACTCCAGATTGGGATCCCGCAACTGCAGGAGAAGTGACAATTGCTGGATGTACCCGCAGAATCGAGCGTAATAATTGTGGCGCGAGCGAAGCTGCTGGAAGTGCACTCCATTGGCACGTAGCTCCGAGGAATGGGCGTAGTACGAGGATTTTTTGCCGTACAGGGTAAAGAAAGCAGTCTCCCGTTGGAGCTGCAGAGCCAGCACAGACGGTCGCAGGGGCTGGCATTGCAGGGAGAGCAGTTCGTTGAGTGCCGGCTGGCGGCCAGCACGCTCCAAAAGGCGCATGCATTCGCACAAATTCTGCAAGAGATTCATGGCTCCAATTTCAGAGGATGCTGGTGTTGCTGCTGCCTCGTCTGTCGCGGGCTGCTTCTGCTGGCGGCGTATAACCAGCAGCAGATTGCACGTAATCTCCCGATTGAAACCCAGATTAACGATCAGATCACAAATGATCAACGCATTGAGATTCCGCTCTTCAAACTGCTGCAGGAATCCATACTGTCCATGGCCGCTGTGCCGATGGATGAGGCTCTTCAACTCGGGGCTCTGCTGCAGCCGCTGGGCCTGGGCCTGCGCGAAGTTGTCCACCACACTGATGATCTTTGACAGCTCAAATCCCTTGGCTGCCACGCCCTTGATCTGCTCTACAGTGGTGCCGGCAGGGCTGCCGGCCCTGGCCTCCAGTGCCCGATAGTTTGAATAAATGGTGGCCAGCTTTTGTTTGATAAGCTGCTGCTGCTCCATGAACTGCAGTTCTCGATTTAGTTGGCTGTGCTCCAGGCTAAAGGTCTGCAAAACGGAACATAGATTATACAATACCATTGACGAACAGACGAAGGATAGCTCAAAGCGGAATTCAAATGGAATTTTTTCTTGATGCTATATCTTGGTAATTTTATAGTCGCTGCTATAACAAAAAGGTCTCCTACCTCTATGATCTGCTTGACATCCTTAAAGTTCTTCAAGGCCAGCGACATGATGGCCAGCTGTTCGGGCGTGCTCAGCATTTTTGGAATGATGGAGCGATCATTAGGGGCGACGCCTCTCTTTGTGTTGCTGTCTCCGCTCAGGATCTGCGCACGAGCTCTATACTGTTCCATGTCAGCAGTCCCACTAAAGCTGACTGCCCGGCGCTGTTTTCTAGCCTTGCGCCGCGTCAGACTGGAGGCATGATTGCTGCGCTCCCGGCTCTCATCATCGCTGGAAGCCTTCTCCCTGGCACTACTATGCAGTTGGACCAACTGCAGCAGTTGCTCCGGCTCCAGGAGGCAGCTCAATGAAGGAGCAGACTGGGCCACAGATTGTTCGATCTTTTGGAGGACACCAAACTTCCAAATGGCCTCGCTGATGGCATCCACAAGTCGCTGGAATCGCGACTGATGGTCGGTGGCGCATTTGTAGTCCTGCGAGTGTAGCTTTTTGGTGACGAAGCTCTTGAGGAATGTGAAAAGGACTCGCAGGGAGGTTGCTCTACAGATGAAGCCATACTTTATCCTTTGGGCCGGCATGTGGGCCTGTCGTGGTGACGTGTGTGGTGCCTCGTCATCCACATACTGCTCATCGTCATCATCCTCCTCGTCGTTGTCGTTGTTGTTCTCGCACCGACGCTGTTTGGTCTGCTCCAGCTGCTCCCAGCGCAGGAATACAAGCAGAAAGATGTCCTCGAGCAAGGAGCACAGGGTTCCCAGTTGATGGATCTGCCGCAGCTGGCTGGATAGCTGCAGCAGGTTCGACTTGATGGTGGACCCCTCATCCTGGTCCAATATCAGATTGTAGACGTGGCCGAGAGCCGTATAGTAGCTGAGAGTCTCCATCTCCTGCTGGTAGAAGCATTTCAGTTCAGGAGTCTGCTGCTGCCACTTGTAGGTGTCGCCGACCAGCTTGAACAGCTCCTGGCTATCACACCGGATGTTGTGGTCATGAACCAGGGAAAGGACGCCCGGGGCCCGTAATAGGGCTTCTACTTTCAGCGATTTGCTGGCCTCTCGCTCGCCCAGGAACTGCAAGAGCACCGACAGACGTTGGAAATCCGCATAGAAGAACTGATGGACGGGCTGAAGTTCGTCCGGAACGGCAGCCACATCAAAGGCGGCCAGATCCTTGTCCAGGTAGCCCAACTCGTCCACCGTCTGCGGTCCGAGTGCAAATTCATTGGCCAATTTCAGGATCAGCAGAGTATTTCTCAAGGTTTTGTCCGCCAAGCACTCAAAGTCCTTCAGCTGCCGGCACAGCGTCGGAACAAAGTTCTCCCGCTCGTCAAGAGCAAGCCACAGAACCAGCTGCCTTGTGGGTGGCCCCTCGCTGCACTGCTGACGAATGGCTTGCTGTTGCTCACGCAGCAGCTGGTCCAGTAGCTGTCCTCCGTCCTGGCGTGCTAAAAGAGCGAGTATCAAGTGCTCGCTGGTGGCTGATTCATGCACAAGACGCGTCATAAGCTTCTGCCGCAACGTAGCCGCCTCTAAAATGCTCGGCGGAAAGTTTGCCAGCACACAAAGAGAACGTGATGTGATATCGTTTGCCAGTATTTCATTGAGCACTGCACTAATGATATTTCCAATGTGCAACTTTGACCTTTCGTGGAGTATCTGCAGTATCTGAAGCGTGGGATATGGCGCATCGTGGAGTGATACTTGCAATCGGCTTTGATAGGACTGCACAGATCCGCTTGAAATACCATTGAGGCATTGGATAAAGTCCTGAAAGGGATTTAAAATAACAACAAACAATCAGAATACTTTTGGGACTCACTTGAAAGACTTTTCGCTGTTCGGGTGGCAGTAAGGCCAAAAACTGGCATAGATCCTCATGCTGTTGATCCTGCTTTGCCGTCATCTTGGGGGTAGGGTAGGGTCACCTGTTGGTTGCTCCGCCGCTCAAGTCTGATGATCTTCTGGGTGTGATTGCTCCCGTCTCACGAGCGGTTCATTGTACTATGGGCGAGTTCTAAGTAGGCCTCCTTCTCTCACCGAATGAATGTGACTTCTGTGGGTCTGTGGCTCTGCTGATTGCGATTCTATCTAGACTATTGTTATTGCTCGACGGGTCTCTCGCTGCTGCGCTTTTTGCTTTTGTTTCTGGGCAGCAGCTGTTCTGCTCTCTGGCGACTTCCACTGGCACAAGTGCGAGTGATAACAGACGCCCGCATATTATCTCCGTACAGCCTAGAGTTGATCAAATTAATCCGGATTCGGACCTCTCAAAAAACAAAGACTTTTGTGTAAAATTCAGCGCCGCGGATAGAGCTGCCAACTTATATGAATTTAGGCAAACATGCAAAAAATCGAAGTTCTGTTCTTTAATTCCATTATTTATTTTATGACAAGTTATTTTGGCGCATCGTGGGAGGAAAAGATGATATAAAATGTATTATCTATGGAGTGGAATCCTATTTTGATTTGAAAGAGAACAGCTGAGTGGACAGCACAAATTTCGGTGGTATTTTTCTGCAGGTGTTTCAGTGCTGACAACTTTTTAGATGAAAAAGTACTGGTTTTTTTTTCAATTAGAAATAGTCACCACTTTTGAAGATCTAATTTTTTTTGACAAATTGGTCATTACTATCCGTCCTGTAGCAACCATAGTATTAATTTGATGTATTTACTTCTGCAGCAGAATTTATAAGTTCAATTTTATCAACAGAAGAGAATAGCTAGTAGCAATAGCAACAGGTAACAGGTTACAGCAATTTTCAAATATGTCTACATATCGTACTGTGAAAATAGCCAGAACAAGCTATAAAATAGCTGCACTTTCAGCACTGGTGGTATTTTTGTGCAAGCGTTTGCCTAATTTTGGTACATCTTCGTTTCAGCCGGTAGTACCAGTAGTGCTGCCAGATTTTGAGCGTCGAAATATGCTAGATTTCACAAAAATAAAAGCTAGAAAAAGCTACAAAATGTATAAAACAGGCTAAAAGGCTATTTCAAAAGAATTTTAGTCGTATACATCAAACAATAAAATATTTATAAAAAAAACCAACCTTATATTTAATATTAAGTTTAAGGATTTAATAGTCATTTTGTTCCTAAGTAGACTAAGTTCCACTGTAGACCTAAAATTCCAATGACATATTAAGCGATTTCTTTAAAAGGTTTGTTTTAGCCAGAATCTTTATAAGTCAGTATGTACTTCTGACCAAAGTTTATAGTGTCATCTGTGCTTTTCCAAGGGACTAAGTGAACTTTTTAGTGAAATTAAAAATGGCTAGATTTAAGGCTATAGGCATGTTCATAATTTTTCAAGCATATCCGTTTTCAAATAAGCTAGATCTAGCCTTAAATAGGCTAAAATGGCAGCACTGAGTACCAGTACACCCGGTCGCGAACACATTTCTCTCTCGTTTTCTGTAAAGGGCGGTCGCCGATTTAAAGTCACCAAGTTGGCTTAACACTAGTCTTATCAATGATTTAACACCTAGAAATAATCAAGTGCCAAGTGAAGCAATACAAAAAGCAACAAGTATGCAGAAATTTAAAAGCAAAACGAACAATCCAGAGCTGCGATCTCTGCTCCTCATCGGTGTCTTCGCTGTCTGCTGTTTGGGTAAGGTTCTTAAAGCAAATATTTAGTTACTAAATGGGTTTTTGGCATATGCAAAGCACGTAGAAAGTACTTCAACTTTAAGTTGAATGAACTTTGTTTGTTTGTATCGGTTTTTACTCAAAGAACTCTCTCACCCACTCATTTTGGGGGACAGAGAGAGAGACTTTGACATTGCTCTCCCTCAGAGATTTATCCACTCACACATTCAAAGCCAAGACCAAGACCGTTTATCTGACACACTTCTCAATTGGAGCAGCTGTTTCTGCACAGTGGGCCAATATGGAAAAGGCAAGTAAGGAAACGATGAAACTGTTAAGATCAGAACAAATTAGGACAGGAATTTTTGAGATTTAATTGCATTCGAAAAATTATTCGTTTTAAAAAATCCATAGAGTAGAGTATTATTCAAAAGTTTAAATATTCTGAAACGCACTTTTTATCTGCCTTGAAGAGCACACTTGCCACTTTTCTGTTCTTCATCTTCGATATTCAGTTTCTTAAAAATGTAGTTTATCTTCCTTTGAAATATTTATTCTATCTTGTGTTAATCCTGTCCAATTTGTTTGCTTAACAAATACAAAAAAAAAAAAAACCACAAGGAACGAGCTTGGCAGCGTATCTTAATCTTATCTTAAAAATGTAGGAATGCATTTTTATGATTAGGAGAAAGTGATTCAAAAACTATTTACCATCTTTCCATCGCTTCTTATTATTTGTACGACCTTTGCTCCCTATCTGCTCATCCCATTCCTTGCTTATCTCTTTCTGGAATTCTTCCGAGTTGATTTATTCCACAAAATCGGTAGAGCCACCCACTGTGCGGCGGAGAGGCCCACTTGTTGATGATAACCTCAGCCGTAGGCCACATGTTGAATAGGAATTGAAATTTCTGATCAGCTTATTCCTCTTTTGCTTGGGTGAAAGTTATACAAATTCTATCACTAATGACGTGTTCCATTCTGTTTCTTTCTTTTCCTATGCTCCCATTCCCGCTCCACCTCACTGTCGCCTGCAGGTGTGGTACAAGCGGCACTGGTGCCTCCAAACAGCCAGCAAATCTTCAAGCTGCAGAATACTGTGAGTCTACAGGGCTTAAGTGGCACCGAGGAGACGAGATACACCTTCGAGACCGAACTGAAGATCAATTCGGTATGGAGCCAGGGCGAGGATCAGCTGCTGGAGGTGTCCTTCAGCGGGAGTCGCGTGAGTGCGCCCGGCCTGGACCATCAGGTGGAGCGTCCGATTAGCCAGATACCCGACAGACCCTTCTACATCAGCCTGGTCCAGGGACAGCCGCATCAAGTGATTGCCCACACTGGTCGGGATCAGTCCCTGTTGAATCTGGAGCGGGGCATCGCCTCCCTGCTGCAGCTACGCTTCGAGGGCAGCGAGGAGCTCGATGTGTCTGGCCACTGTCGTGTCGCGTACAATGTTAAATCGTCGACGAGCTTGGAAAAAAGGAAGATGGATTGCGCGCTCTGGGATCTGCGCGTAAACTACCATCCGGAAGAGGCTCTCGGCGTATCTCAGCTGTCCCAAGAGCAAGTCAGCTACGAGCTGTCCGCAGATGGAGCCCTGCTGCGGGCCGAGTCTGTGGAGACGCACCGCCTGACCCTGGTCGCCAAGCCAGATGCTGGAAGCACTGTGCAAAGCAGCCTGCTCCTACAGCATGCGTACCAGGGAGCAGAAGAGGTGCCACAGCTTGATGTACCCAGCCTGGAGGCGGCCATTGAGAGTCTATTGGAGTGGTATCGCGTGTTTCAGCTGGAGGCGGATGTGGACAGTAGCATTAGTGAGCTAAAGCAGCAAAATGTGAGCAGAAGGGCTAGACCTTTTTAAAGAAGTATTTGGTAATGTCTATTTTTTGTTCATTTTCAGCTTGAAAAACTGCTGGCACAATCGGAAGATCAGCTGCAAGCCGATGACGTGGGCAAATCCTCGCTGGCCCTGCTGTACGTCCAGTTACTGCCGCTGGTACGCCTCACCAAGCAGCCGCAGTTCGAACAGCTGCTCCAGAAGCACACGAAAATCTTGCCCCAATTGGTGGATCTGCTCGGAGCAGTGCAGACCTTCGAGGCCCACAATGCCACCTTTAGTCAATTCTACAGCGATGCAGCGACCAATACAGAGCAATTGGAGCTGCTGGAGAAGTATCTACAATCGCTGGCCGTGGCCACGCATCCAGAAAGACGAATCATCGAGCATTTGTATGGCCTCCTGAAGGTGGATGCCACCAACAAGCAGTCAGCGCTGAGGGAAAGTATCATCCAAACGCTGGCCACGTTGACGCGACAGAGTGGCTTCGATGGCAACGATCTGCTGCTGCAGCAAGTGCGCGCTTTCCTCCTGGAGGGACTTGGCTCCAAGCAGCCCATTTTGTACATACGCGCCCTGCAGAATCTCCAGGATGTGGCCACTATTGAGGCACTGCTAGAGCAGGCTCAGACACGGCAGGAGCCCAATCTCGCGGTGGCCGCTTTACAGGCCCTGAAATCGTTCCCTGCGAGAAGTTTCAATGTCTCGCATCGCCAGCAGTTCGAGAGCATCTTCTACCAGCGACGACGACGCTTCGATAGCTCTGCTCGCACCTTGGCTTTGGATGTGCTGCTGGCCCTGCGACCCTCGGCCGAGCAGCTGGGCCACATCCTCGACTATTTATCCTCAACAGACAGACAGTTTGAGATTAAAACGTATGTGCTGCAGAAGCTGGGCATGCTGGCCGAGATGTGTCCACGTTTTAGGGGACTCCTCAGGCAGGAGCTGGCCAAGCGGTCTAAGGTTAACAACTACCACGTAATGGGACAAAAGGGTAAGGAAACGAAAGTAAATCCAAGGACCAAAAGCTAAAGGAAGTTCCTATTTCAGGCCTCACCACTGTCCTCAGGCGACAGCTCTCCCAGTCGCCCGCCTTCAACGAATCGCTGCTTAGCACCCAGGAGGTGCAGCAGGGCATCCTAAAGCGGGGTTCAGTGGAGTTTCTACTGCAGGCGGGCCATGCCCAGGCCAGCAGCTTTAAGCTGGGCATCTACACAGCCGGCCTGGGTGCGGTGGTGGGCGATGGCGACGCTAGCGATGAGAGCGATCCCATTCCCGCCGATGATGAGCTGGACAGCGGGGAGAGCGTCACCGCTGGCATGGAGATCAGTGTGCAGGGCTCTCAATTGCGTCCACTGATCTTTTTCAGCGGCCAAACAGAGCTGATGGGTCATGTGTGGGGCGGAACGGCTTCGGACTCGACGCCTGCGTATCAGGCCACCACTTTGGCCCAGGATCATGAGCACTACATAGTCCTGGCATCGGGTGCCAGCCTCCATTGGAGGGTACTCGGCGCCCGCAGTGTGGATCTCAACGGAAAAGTGGGATTCAGCTTGTGGAATCGCAATGCCCAGACGGAGATACAGCAAAAGTGAGTGCAGGAACATCTAAAAAGGAATTTTGAGGATTATCATAATATTTTGTGATTCTCTTTTCTTTTTAGCACGGGCAGCGCTGTCGTGGGACATGTGGCTGTGGGCTTCACCTATGCGAAACTTGTGCAGGATTTCACTTTGAGGCACGAACCGAAACTGAGTCTGCAGGCGGATTTGGACTTTTACAGCGGCATCAAGCTGTGCATGCAACTGCAACGACCCGAACAGCTACTCAAGTGAGTTTTACACGGAAATATACTCGAAATTTCCTTTATTTTAAATATAATCCCATCCCTTTGTTTACCAGGCAAACCAGCACTCGTTCGGTATTTCTGCAAGAAGTGGGGCGGTCTTATGCGAAACATGTCCACTCCACAATCAACCATCGGACGCCCGGCTGCACTTTTGCCCTCAATCAGAAGAACAATGAGATGTGCAACCTGATATTGAGCGATTAGTAGAATTACAAACCAAGAAACAAAATGAGATTTGAGAGATTGCTTCCATAACTTTTATCAATTTAACTGAAATGCTATGTAAAAAGCGCAGAGATTAAGACTCGATATAGTTGTAAACTTGTAAGAACAAAGACAATATAATTTTCAATGCCAAAGCGGTTTTTTTTAATTTAAAAAAGTACACTAAATTAATTTGAATTAATTATTACACAGTTTATTGCACAAATATAACGATATTTGTTTGCACCTTCACTATCGAAATATGAAATACCCTTGTAGGAATAAGGGTGTAGAATTTGTGGTCATCTCTGGCTAAATTTTTTAAAAGCTATCTGAAAAAAAATTTTGCGTATACATACATACATATGTACATATGTAGTCTTCTTGCAGTCGCGAGAATACCATATCGGGATCGAGATTCATGAATAGGTCAAAAATATGCCAATCTGTGAAAAAAAACATTATTAATTACTTTTAAAAGCAACTTGGATAACAGAATTAAGAAGAAAAAGGGTATACAAATGTCCATACTCAGCATTAATACGTAGCATTTCCCACACGTTTCATTCCGTCACACTTACGTTTTATGCGGTGACTCTTTTTGCTCAAACCTTATTTTTCACATAACCAAATAACAGAAAGTACTTAATATTAGCCAATCGTGTAGGAAATTGACTCATCAATCGGGTAAAATTATGTGTTCTGGACTGAGGATCCTAGCTAGTTAGTAATATCAAATCGAATATCAAAATCAAGAAATATGATTTCTGATCATGGGATATAAGCGATTAACCCATTGTAGTCCAGTGGGTATTCAAATACGCTTCACAAAAATTTAGAATTTTGAAGTGTTTTCGCGCAGTTCAGGTGAAAGATATCGTGGTGATTTTGTTTCTTAGTAAGAAGGAAGAATGGATTTACATGAAGAATTTAAAAACAGAAGTAGGTTCCGCTGCTTAAATCATGTTGTTCACCTGTTTAAATTGAGGGGGGTTAAGTGGGTTAAGTAAGTTTTTTCATCGGTACGAACGCGGCAAAAAGTGCACAAAAAACAAAAAGAAGAAATTTTATAAATAATAATAGCGATATCTTCAATAAAAGTTAAAGGGGTTTGAAACGTGAGCAGAGGTAAACGCTGGCAGATTAAATGCAGTTTCCGGGAATATCCGCATGAAATTAGGCCAACAAATGTCGCCTTCTAATGCTGTTGCTCTCGGAGGCCCGTCTCCACACACACACACACACTTGTGGGCGCCCTGACACAGCCACAGAAATACCAATGCATATGTAGATAAACGTACCAGATTTGTCGCGCTGTGAACACGAATATAAACACATATTCGACAAGTGCTTAAGGTTTAAATTGTTTGTGTGAAGAACTATAAAAAATGCGCTAACTAAAAGCCCAAATTAAGTGTTAAACCATATAACAATTGAATCTTTTTCGTGATAATTTTTCTTTCCTTTTTCGGCACTCACACGAACACACACAAACGTAAGAAAATGTTCACAATTGGGAGAGAAGAGTGTGGGAAAGAGAGCAAATGAGCGAAGATGAGAGAACAAAAATCCTCCAATTTGTTGTTGCCTTAAAGAAGGAGAAAAACCACGTGTGGAGGAAGTGCTCTGCAATTTATGTGCAAAAATATAGAGATCTAAAATGCAGCTGCTCTTGTACAGCGATCTACAATAAGAAGCGTTTTCTCGTAACAATTCGAAAGATGTTTAAAATATCGCTTTTTAACATAAATTAGCCGGCAAAATTAGCATTTGTATTTTATCAATATCGCACCCGAACACATACATATGTACATGCGTATGTGGATATGAAGAGTAGGGCCTGAAATAGTGCGAAGAGAAGAGCGATTGATTGCTGATCAGTTTGCTCTCCCGCTCTCACTGAACCGAAACTGGTTCCGTAATCAAATTACGTGACCGATTTACCTGTGTTGGTGATGAACGATAAAAAAATATATATATTTCAAACTGAAAGTTTCAATTACATGAATTCTGAAGCCATGCACTGTCTTGTTAAAGTGTCATTTATATTGTGACATAAATTATTTGGCAAAAATTGATTGATTAACCGTACTAATTGTGTCGGTTTGTTGTACCCCATTACAGGAATGTAAATTAATTTTCCAAATTTGAATTTCCATGAATTGCTTTTGTGAACCGTTTTGCGCATATTTGGCTCCCTGGCTCCCACTCACAGAAACTTGCGCACGCTCTTGCTTGGCGCTCGCGCTCTCTCTAGCTGTCCCCCGCTCTGGTAACGGTATCACGCGCTCTGGACTCAACGTCATCCATCGCTGGCGCTCATTCGAATTTCAACGCTCGGCAGTGTAAGGTGGTCCGTCGTCGCAGCACTCAGCACTGGTACGAACCGTACGAACACTCTGCCAACTAACGTCACACTCTCTCGTGCCACCCACACTTGTGCAAAAGGCCAAAGAGCAGTCAAGAGCCAGTGCAAAAACCGACCCCGCCACAGCCCCGTGCAAGGTGCTTGGTACCCCGCCCCCGGCTGCACTTGAGCATAAATTCTTTTGCTTTTCCCTTTTCCTTTAGAATTTAACTGTGAAAGTGAAAACGTGACAGCACGAAGAACGAAACGAACGAACGAGGCAAGCAAAACAAAAAACCCGCGTGTGTGTGTGAAAATAAAAGGAAGGAGAACAAAACGCAGCAGAACACAAGAGAGAGAGAGAGAATAAAAAAAGATAAAAATAATCAACGAACGAAGGGACAAGGTGGCCCTCAGGCGAAAACAAGGAGAACAACAAAAAACCGAAAAAAAACAACGAAAATTGACAGGTAAGGGAAGCAACACAAAAGTCTCTTCTTTTCAGCCTCACTCTATCTCCCTATCTGGCCATCTCCCACTCTGTATGGTTCTATCTCTTTCCATTTCCTCCTCTCTATGGCTCTATCCCTTTCCCTTTCCTTTTTCCTTGTGCCTGAAATTGATATTTCGTTGCATTTTTGGTATACCCTATGGAGGGAGTCAGTATGAAGACTTTGACAAGCTGTTGTGTTTGGAAGGATTTTTGAAATAAATATTCAGGGCCAGGCAACATTATATGTCTTTCGGTTTCTATCCCCAAGTGTTAAAGAGTTACAAGGGTATCAATAGCCTCGGTATCCACTCTCTTTCCTGTTTCAGTGTCGTTTTTGGGTTCTTTTCTTATCTTCGAGTGCTGTGCTTCTCGCTTCTTCCATGATTCACTTGTTCATCGATGTTAACCCAACCATTTCTTTGATAATAATTTTTGTGCCAATCATTGGGTTAAAGGTTGAAACATTTAAAAGGATGAATAATTTAAATGAATCACAGTTCTAAACATAATTTTGTTTTAAACCAAATTCATGTTGAACCTTTTTAGTTTCTCTTTGGTTTTCTTTTTAGGTTTTTCCGCTTTTGTCATACATAACGTAACTGATTAGATAGAATACTTTTAGTATGTTTGGCTCCCCAACCTTGCACAATTTATGACGGCCCTAAAACGATGTCTTCTGGGTAGATAATGGCAGTGGAAAGAAGGGTTTCGATGGGTAGAGTGGGGTTAACCCTTGATTAAAGTGAAGATGAGATGTTTCGTTATTTATTGGATTTGCTTTTTGGGGGAATTCTAAATTGGTGCAATGTCTTTTTGCTTCGATATCGTGAGTTATTTGTTGACAACTTTAGTATTTTTACAGATATTTGATGTTGTATTTTATAATCTTCAAAGAAATCGAAATAAGATAAAGATGGTTTTATGTTTCTGTGGTATCCGCGAATGCTTGTTAAGATTTATCTATTATTGATGTTTTAGCGGGCTCCTGTGACTCATTTTTTTTTAGATATAACTTGGGGTTTTTGTGGGATTGACTTCAATCAGATATGACGTTGGTAAATGTACCCTCGTGTTCGTTATAATTCTTTAAATGAGTCACAGTTAAAACAATCATTTGTATCCGATCACTATGAATTGACAATATTTATTAAGGCCTTACAGACATTAGAATTCTTGGGAAATTCTTGGCAAAACACAAGCATTTGGCAATAAGAAAATTCAATTTCTGCTTTGGTTTTATCTTATCTGTGATTTCCCAGCCAGCGACCCAATTAAATAAACGGATATCGAGCATGAACACTCGTACGAATATTCGTTTTTATCATTAATACATTTGACGATTGGCAATGGACAAATTGTATCTGTCTGGCTGTCTGGCTGTCTATCTGTCACCAGGGACCCAGCAAATCGCTCGCTCACGTGAGTCAATCGCCGCCAGTCGAGAAGTTATGCAAAACGACTTTTCAAATCGGTTATGCTTTCAAAATGAAAATAAAAAAACACTCAGTCGTGCAGCGACAAACAAACTTTTGCAATTACAGACAGATCCGGCAGAAATAAAAGCAAAAAAGAAATAAAAAGACCAGAAAAGTACCGAGAATCGGAATCAATCGATTTCAATCGAGTCAACGTGTCGCCAGGCCAGGCCAGGCAGGCACTCAATCCCTCAGTAACACATTCAATCCATCTACGAGTAGGGGCATATTTATCCATATCGAATATTCAGAGATTCTGATTTGTGTGTACGTGCCACTGCCTAGACGATGACAACGTGATTTATTCGATGATTCACTTGCGATTATGGATTATGGATGGATACAAATGCAAATCCAACAAACAACTCAATGTCTCTGAGACGGGCAAAGCCCAAAGGGTTCATTCAACTCAGGACAACCTAAGGACTGACCCACCTCATCGACAGGATCCACAATCCACAATCAAACCATCGCCTGGTAACCCCATTTCTTCAGGGAAAATCAATAATTTTCGGCTCATTTGTGCTTCTGTTTATATTTATGGCCATGCTACGCTTTGTGGCCACCACAATGTTGCACAAAAACTCTGAATTTATTTTGGTTGTCATGCAACTGGGTTTATGTTAAATAACCAGAAAATTAATTGGTTTCTGCAACTGAGGTTGGCTTGAAATGTTTTTTAGCGGATGTAAACTTGTAATTGCTTTAGCTTTTGGTTAAAAAATAGTATTTATATAGAAAAACTGAGACTACGAATAGATGTACGAGTATACAGATGTACGAGATGTATGTCTGGGTCTGTTGCTGTCTGAATGTATGTATGTAGGGGTATATGCATGG